TTCATTAATAGGTCAACGAAATGCGTATTTTAGCAGCTCATTTTCAATCAGTATAATGGGACGGGACATCCAATGCTCTTGGCAAATTCAAGGTCACAGATCGTTTCCGATAATTTTTCATCTTGAAGACCTTTCTGCTGGTTGCAACCGTTACTGGGGCTGCTGAGTATTCTGCAGGTTGTGATAACATTGGGATAAATTTCAGTTCAATTATTGATTTGAAGTATGAATTTTAGCATATCTAGAGCTGCGGGTTGTTGCAGAACATTTTTCTAAAAAGATTCAACTCTTTTCAGTAAGTCCGTTTCATGCAAGTCTGAATTTAGTTTTAAATGTAAATTTATACCTGTTATTTTAATGTCTAATGTCTGACACTTCCTGTAACCCGGGGTGGTTTTACAAAAAAACAGGTGGCTTCATGATTTGTATATAGTTCAATCTCTTGCTTATGCATTCTATCACTCCATCTTGAATTACAAGGGAAAACTTAAAAAATTGTCTTCCTCTTTTTTTTAAAAAAATATTTATTTGGGCAAGAGAGAGAGAGCAGGAGAGAGAGAGAGAATCTCAAGCAGACTCCCCACTGATTGTGGAGCCTGACGTGGGGCTTGATCTCATGACCATGAGATCATGACTTGAGCTAAAATCAAGAGTTGGACACCCAACTGACTGAGCCACCCAGGCACCCCCAAAATTGTCTTCCTCTTTAATAATGGGCTTATCAAACTTTGTACAGAAACAGTGTTCTTTTCTACCGAATGTAACAATCTTTGCATTATTCCTAATTCTAAACCTTAGGATATTTGCTTTATAATGTTGTAATCGTTTTTAAAACCAGAGATTCTAAACTCATTGAAGAATTCTAGTAAGTGCCTTGCTTTATTGCAATGTCCGCGTGTTCACTTCTATTCTGTAATAACTTACTGACAGAGTTTACTGCCGAAGCCTGGCAGATCCTGTCCTGGTGCTCAGGCCTGAGAGTTAATATTTATGCAGGTGCTGAAAGGACAGCTTCTGGGCAGGGAAGGGCCAGCTGGTCTCCCACCGCAGTCCAGGCACCGATCCCCGGGGAGCCCTTCCCTCTCCCACGGTTGCCCACGGCTGCTGTTGTCACCATCAGCACCTGTCATCCAATGGCCAGGCCAGCTTCTTGGAGGACGTGCCGCCCACTGTGTCCTCTACTCAGGGGCATGCTCCGTTACTCCAGCAGACGTCACTTACAAAACACGAGTTCAAAGAGAAACTTACTAAGATTTTCAAGAGGATGACAGCGGAGCATGACCCCAAGCGGACCTCTCTGTGTGACTCCAGAGGGAGCACACCCGGGAAGCTGGCCCGGACTAGCATCACGGCCGATGTTGACCGAACTCGCCACATGCCAGGCCCTGGTCTACGGACCCATTCAGTCCTCACAATCCGGTGGGGTCCTGCTATCAGCCCTGTTTTACAGATGGGGAAACTCAACATGCTGCCCGTGAACTCAGCCCAAGGTCACGTGGCAGCAAGTGGGAGTGTCCGGACCCCAGGCAGTAGGGCTCCAGAGCTGTACCATTGAATCCTCCTTCCGCAGCAAGAGTATGAACAGCCCCCTCTGGCTCTCGGGAGCGTTCGTGTCTCACCCCAGTGCATGCCCGCAGGGAAGCAGGGCCAGATGCTCAGCCCTGGTTTCTTGCCTCCAGCATGAAGAGAGGCCAGAGTTCAGGCCTGGAACTCCCACCTACCGAACTTCAGGGCGCCGGGGTGAGGATGACTGAGAAATATTTTAAACTGTGGATAATGACCTATAAGGAAGTCCTGAAGTCAGTTTGGTGGGCCGTGCCCGGCAGTTTGAAACCACGAAACCGAAAAAGGAGACAGAGGGTCAGAGTGCACCCCTGAAGTAGGGCAACTATTGTTTTGCATTGGGTTGAGTTTTAGATCTTTTTGTGTGTGCTGGGTCGCATGTTAATTGCATTTCTTTCTGTGCCTCCTTGGATTCTTCTGTTTCAGCTCTGCTGGCTGGGGGCGGGGGGCACACTGGACATGCTGTCCAAGTGTGGCCCCCATTCCTGAAATCCAAGTCCCACCACCCCAAGCGATTTGGTTTCCCTGGGATGGGTCCCGTGGAGGCCTGGGCCCGGAGCCAGACCTGCAGGGAGTCACATTTCGGGGGTGGGAGCAGGGTTGCTGCAGGTGTGTGGTGAATGGAATTGCTTCGGCCAAGAGGTTCGGATGTGGGGACAAGCATGAGACCTGTGTAGCACCCGTCAGGGGGTCAGTAAAGGTGTCCTTGTCACTGTATGTCCCAGGATGGGTCCTGGGACAGCTGTTGTCAGTAACAACGGGAACAACCGTGTCTGGAGCCCCTACAGCAATGTGTAGGCACTGTGCCGGGTGCTTCATAAAACACAGCTCCTCTTCCTCTTATAATAACTCTGCCAGGCGTTGATATCCCTATTTTACAGATCAGAACACTGAGGCTCAGGGAGCAGGGGCCTTGCTCAGAGCCCTATGGTTGCTACGTGGAGAGAACATTTGGGTGTGGGTATGGTTTTGGCTTTCAGACGTCAAGTATTAAACCCGAGCTCGTCGACCTCCCTTGCAGTACGTGGCGATGTGCTCCAGGTCCCACAGGCTTTCAGAGGTAGAGCCGAGGCCAGAACCCAGCCTGCCCAGCAGCCACAGGTGAATCCTTCCACCTGCCACCTGAGGAGGCTGGCCCTCACCTCCTGGACCCCTGGGCCCGCCCCCTTCTCACTTGGGACCTTCCACTCCCTGCTTCTCTTGGCTGTTCTGTGAGAAAGTAGGAGTCTCAGACCCTGGCAGCCGGGGAGAGCTCAGTGACCGCCACCAATTTGCTGTGTGTCCTGGGAGGAGTCCGTCTGTTTTCCCAGGGATGAAATGCAGGGTCGAGCTGTAGGAGGTACCTGGCCTGTGAGGCACTCGCACTGGGTTTGCCAGAAAAAATTCAGGATGTCCAGTTACATTTGAATTTTAGATAAATAATCAATTTTCAGTAGCAGTATGTCCCAAATATTGCATAGGATATACTTACACTGAAAGGTATTTACTGTTTATCTGTGTTCAAATTTAACTAGTGTCCTATATTTTTATATGCTAAATCTGGCAATCCTCTTCAGGGTCTCATTTGGATAATTTGGGTGTTCTTATTCAGTAGGTCTTGCTGAGTGTGCACACGGGGACAGCCTCTGTTTGGAGGAGCTCTTGACCGGAGGCAAAGAAGTAGAATGGCCGATGACCATGGGCTGTTGGCAAGTGGGGGGTCAGCGTGAATAGGGGTGGGGTAACTGTAGGGAGGGAGAGGCTGAGCTGGTTTGGAAAGAGGAAGACGTGCCAGTGCCAAGGGGCTGACGGCCCTGCAGGCCCCAAGGTCAGAGCCACACCTGGCCTGCTCGCTGATGGCATCTCAGGCAAGTTACGTCTCAGGCTTCTCTCCTTCCGTGCGTAAATGGCTCGATGAGACCTGCCTTGCACCAGTGTTGGATGCAGGAAATGAAATGATGTGTACAAAGTGCCAAGTACAGAGCAGGCCACCAACAAAACCAGTGAGCGGTTATCACCCTGACGTTAAGTCTAGCAATAAACACGTCCAGAGACACACCACCCATGTCTCCTGAGTGGAGGATGATGCTGGGCTCCTTTGCAAGGCCTCCAGCCAGACTGCACACAGGCCTTCTCAGGATCAGAACAAGCTGGTTTCCTGCTATAGAAATCATGTCCCCTGCAGTAGACACTGCCCTGGGCCCTCCCAGTTCTGTTCTGCTCCCTTTTTCCTAAGCCAACCCAGCTTTGCTCTGGGCAGTTTTCAACTAAAACTACACTTCCCAGCCTCCCTTGCAGCCCTCTTGCTCAAAGGCTGCCATCTTGGCCCCTGAGATGTAAGTGGGAGTTGCTTTCTGGAAACTCTTTCTAGAAAGTAGGGCTTTTTGGAAGCTCTTTAAAAATGAGGCAGACTGGCTGTCACCTGCTTCTTGTCCTTCTTCCTTGCCCCCATCCTGCCTGGAGTGCAGAAGCAATGCTGGGGGCTGGGGAGCTACCTTGGGGGCAAAGGATGTACACACAAGAGCCACACGCCGGTGCCCGCGTGGTGACTGCTGTCCCAGCCCCTGCTGCTCATAGCTGGACTTTTTATTATGTGGTGAGGCCACTGTGGTCGGGTCTCTGCTGCAGGCAGCCAGACCCAGGCCCTAATGTCTATACCCTGTGTGTGTGGAAATCACCATGACCCCTCACCCCCATCTTCTGGCTGCAAATCCATTAATAGGCTAGAAAGCCTTTACAACAGTCCCATAATAGACCCTGTTGATGCCCCAACCACATCCCTTGTTCTTGCCACCCCAGGGGCCCCCTGGCCAGCCTTCTACCTGTAGCATGCATTTCCCAGCCCAAGGCTCTCTGGTCTCCCACGCTCCCTTTGCCTGCTGCACAGCAGGCCAGAAGGACAGGGGACTAACCCTCCGGAAGCCACTCTCCAGCAATGATTGAAGGGAGTGCTGGATAAATACCCCAGCTCCCTGGCAAGGAGGTGGGACGTTCCCAGGTAAGTGTCCTGTAGTGGCTCCCAGGGTTTTCCCAGGGCTTAGCCTGTAGTTGCCTTCGCTGGTTTCTTGGTCAGATAGCTCACCCTTTCCTGGCTGTCTCCCCTTCCCTACTCCCCAACCTGGACTCAGGTCCCAAATAGCCCATTTGCATGCAAACCCTGATCCCAGGGTCTGCCCCCTAGGGGACCCAAACTCAGACAAGCTGATCATCTGACTTGATCTTCACCCCATCCTTTGAGGTCAAGCCTTATAACAGCAGAGGAAACCAAAGCGTGCCCAAGGGAAGGGCATGTTCTCCGAGAGCAGGCTTGCACTGTACTCCCTGTGGAAGTCACATGTGGAAAGGCAGAAGCACTGGACCCAAATCTTCCCACATCAAAGCTGCTCAACTCTTCGCCCCCAAGAGGAATACTTACAGAGCAGACACTGCTCAGCCCCAGGCAAAAAAGACAGAGTCTGTTGCACAAACATACACACACAATTTATTTTCCCCTGTCAGTAGATCCATCCTGACTGTCCCGTATGTAAGTCCCAGGATCTTTGGTCCTTTCTCCGCGGAGAGAGGTGCCTCTGTGGAAGCTGAACCCGGAGCTCCTGGGAGAGGTCCTGCCGCGGGTGCGGGGGAGGGGCACCACTTTACGCTGCAGAATTAGAAGGGGCGTTCAGAGCAGTTTACTGCCACAAAAAAGGGGTAGAGCCCAAGGGCTCTTGCAGAAGTCAGCACAAACCACACCTGCTCTCCATTCACCTGACCTCACCTCGAATACTCCTGGAGGCCTACTAGGCACTGGGCCTGGGGCAGAGAACACACACGGGGTCTTGAAGGAGGAGGCCCCTGCTCCCCGACTCATCCCTGGAGGAAGGTCTGGGACTCAAGCTCATCCCGGGATGGCTGGGTTTATTTCCCATGTGCCAACCCTCTGAGCCTGCAAGCTCGGTGAGGTCATAAAACATCTCCTCTAATTTCTGGGTTCCTGGCATGGGGCCCAGCGCTTGGCATGCGCGGGATGTCTTAGGAAAGAACGGAGTGTGTGGTCTGGAGGGGGGGCGGCTGGGAGCAGAGTGGCCAGAGCAGAGAAGGTGCTGGGGCAGGTGGCTTTATGAACGTTAAAGAATGTGCCTCCTATCTGCTACCCACACCTGATGCAGACCCATCCTCTTCTTCTATAGGAGCCCTTAAGCCTGGTCACCTCTCCTTAATCCTATGTAAGTGTAAAAATTCACATGGAAGTCATGGCAAATGCTCTCAATCAGGATAAAGGGCTGGGAGGGGAGGGGGGTGCATGGGAGAGGAAGGTCTCCAAGTTTCTGAAGCAGCAAGACCTATTCCCCATCTCTCAATGCCAGAGCCCTTGGGCTGAGGCTTTGCTATTGAAGAGAGCAGGAGTGCTCCCCCGTTCCCAGATGTAGTGTGTTCTGGACTCCCTGCTCCACAGTGATGGTGAAACCTTGGAGGTCCCCACGTCAATGCACATCCGCAGGGGACCGGTGTGCTGGGGTCACGACACCCCGCCCTGCAGAGGTTAAAACGAGCGGAGCTGTACTCATGGATGGAGAGGTCTCTAAGACACATACAGAACAACACCCTGACGGTGATATGCACACATTTGTGCCGTTAGCGGGAGATGGATAAGCCGCAGATGGGCGAGTTTGCCTCTTGTCTGGACAGTGTGGGTGGCTGGCCCATGATGCCATACCGGGTCTGAAAATGTTGAAAACCGCCAGACTGGTTGGTAAGCAGCCACTGCCCAAGGGGCCCCCAACTGCCAAGACCCCACCATCAGTCTAGCAGGAGGCCCAGCAACCCTGTGCCAAGGTCATGGCCAGCCAGTGTCCCCAAGAGTTCCCGTTGTTTTTAATTTTTAATATCACCCCATTCGTGGATGTATAGAAAGACACCCGGAAGGAAGGACATGCATGAAGATGCTGACAGTCACAACCTCCAGGGCCAAGGGTTTGATGGGGGTCGGGAGAGGGCGAAGGGAGTGGTCGTGTGTTATGTTTCCTACAAACAGTCATGTTTAAGTATTTCACGATGAAATGGTATTCATGAATTTTTTCTTCAGAGAAAAAGGTACTCCGTAAGTTACCACCTGAGGACACAACCATCTCCTTGCTATGTTCCCCCCCTCATTCTGCGTTTCCAAACGTCCCCGCCTCTGCAAACACGGGGTCTCCTGCCCGGTGTGCCTGTGACCCCTTCTCTGCCTGATGGGTTTGTGACTGGCTTCCTGAGCCCAGCTGGAGTGCCCCTTCCTCTGTCAGTCCCTTCTAGAAGCCCACAGATAAAGAATTGCCTCCTTCCTGAGCCCATGACCTCTGTCCATGGAGGGCAGCCCCCTCCAGGACACGGCTGGCCAGCAGCCTAGTAACCCAGGGTCTGACTCCCTGACTAACGCTTGAGGCCAGGGGCTTTTGGTCTCTTCCTCCCCGAGGTGCCCGGCCCAGGGCTTGGATTTGGGATCACCAGCACCATGTTCATTTCCACACCCCTACCCCCACACCCAGCACAGAGCCGGGGTGCGCTGGCCGCGTAGGAAAGCGCACTGCGTGAAGAAATGGGGGAATGCAGTTGTGAACAGGTGAGTGGCCAGGAATCCCCCGTGGCCTTGATTTTGCTGGCCAGTGAGGACCTAGAGGGCTGCATGGGGCACGGGGAGTGGGGAGGAGCTGCCTGAGACAGGGGCTCACCCGTGTCCATCACCTGCAGGCTGAAGTGGGACAACATCAGTACCATGTTCAGGTTCTCAAACTCCTTCTCCAGGACGACCCCGTAGGTCTTCAGGCCCACCAGCTCTACCTCCAGCCTCTGCTGCTGGTTCTGAAAGGGGTACCTAGGGGTTCACGGCTGGCCAGCCCTCGGCAGGAGCACAACACGCCAGCGCGTGAGCGCGTGAGTGCGTGAGCGCGTAGGCAACAGAGTGAATAAAGAAGTACATAAATATGCATATAAGTGAATAGGAAAGTACATAAGAAAAAGAGTAAGTAAATACATATATAAGTAAATTAAAAGTAAATAAGTAAATAAGCAAGGAAATAAATAAGGAAATAAAGTACAAAACAAGTAAATGAATAAATAGGTAAGTAAATAAGTAAACTCCTAAGTCAACAATTAAACAAGGAAGGTCTTGCGGCTGCTCTTGCAAGACACATCCACAATCCTCAAACGTCCCAGATCCCCCCCGCCCCACTGCTCCCGGAAGCAGGACAGCCAGCCACAGACAGAGCCCCCACCCATTAAAATCTTTCTACCCCCCCACCTCGGGCCCATTCTGCCTCACTGTAGCTCATTCTATAGGCTGGGGAAGCACGATTCCCGGAATCAATGCCTGGCCGGGCCCTGCAGCCAGGTAGGGGCGCCCAGATGCACAGCGGGGCTGGACTTCTGAGCTGGCTGTTTTCAGGCTCCCAGCCACATGGCCCCACGGCAGAAATCAGGCCTGGGCCAGGGAAGACGTGGCCAGCCTCAGGGTGAGGTGCGTGCGCAGGGGGTGGGCTCCCACCCATGGAGAAAGTGTATCTATATGCCAGGGCCTCGGCAGCAGGCGGCACAGTCGTCTCCCCCTAAAGATGTGGACTGGGATCTCGGTGAGCCCCCCCGCTCCCGAGGTCGTGGACAGTAATGGGCAGGCCCCCACCCCCCATGGCACACACCCTTCCTGCCGCCCAGGCTGCTGGGTCACGTTGTGGTGGCTTTGGATAGCTAGGTGTTTTCTTTCCTGTTGTTATTTGTGGGGTTTTTTTTGTTGTTGTTGTTTAATATTCACTGTTCTTCAGGATTCTTTAACAAGCTGCAGGAAAGGGGATGAGCTACACTCAAAGGAACTGGGAATTGCAGTGGAACTTAGGGGAGCATGGAAGTCTGAGGTGAAGAGCTTGCTGGAGGGAGCAGGGGGGCGGGGACAGCCCCCAGAGGGCGATGCTGTGACGGTGACACCATCGGGTGCCAGGTACCCCTCCAGGAACTCCAGGTGGAGTCGGAGAGTTCGTGGCTCACGACCACCAGAGGGGGCAGACCCACCATGACCCCCCAGCTGACACATGAAAGACCGAGGACCAGGGACATTCTCTCGGCACACAGCTGCTGAGGGCAGAGCCCGGTTGGATCCCCCAGAGCCTGTGGGTGGCACTTGCAGGCGTCCCTCCCGAGGGGAGCCTGAGGATGAGCAGAGGTGGACAGAATGTTCAGCGCGGGGTCATTTATAATAGAATACCTGGGTGCGACCCAAGTGCCCAGCGACTGGGAAACGGGGACTCAATTAGGGTTCTTCCGTCCAACGAAACATTATACAGTCACGAGAGGCAATTCGTAAAAGAACATCGAAGGAGACATGCAAACGCTTACCGTGTAATAAAATGGAAACCGTAGGAGTCAGAACTGTGGTTTTTCATCCCAATCTTTTCTGTCAGTCTGTCTGTCTCTCCACCTCCCTCCCTCTCTCTCCCTCCACAGAGGGAGACATACTTATTTAGACATAGAGATCCATGATAACATATAGACAGTATAGACGTATTTATCTACATGAATAGACAGATTTAGCTGCGCATAGAAAGCCCAGACACTGTTGCGCTGAAATGCTAAGGATGCTTGTCTAACGATTGGATTTAAATTTTCTTCACACTTCCGAAATTTCAAAATTTTCTTCCATGAATATGTTAATTTTATAATCAGAATAAAATAACACATTTCAAAACTGTGACTTTCGGCATGGTTTCACCTCATTTTCTTTTCTTCGCTTTCATTAAAATAGATGCCACCCATGGATGCCTAAATTTATGCATACTTGTCCACGGAAAGGCATCTGCCGGCTGCCTCCCAGCCCCCCTTCTCGGGGTGTGTGGTCCAGACCACGGATCCCGTAACGGGACACACGCAGGGACACTCATCATACCCCCAGCTCTAGTCGGGAGGGGCTGGGGACAAACTGGGGACCACCAAGAGGGGAATGGGGACAACGGCCCCAGTGAGAAGTAATGGGCCAAACGCCACATGGCAATGTGGTGAACACGGAGCACTGAGTGGAATAAGCATGCAGCACGAGAAGGCTCGTGGCACAATTTCTGGGCATCAAAACCAGACAGAACACTGCATTTTACAAGGACACATAACATGCATGCTCGTGCCTGGATGGTGTGGAGGCGAGTGACACTGGGGTTTGTGATGCGGTGTTTTGAGCAGACCGTGTGGTCTTCATCCCTGCCTTGCTGACACCTCAGGGCCCTGAGCTGAGCAGGGGGCCACGGAGCCAGGATGTGGGTGCTTCCCTCCCCGGGCACCTCACCTGGAACTCTACCAGCTGCCTCTGCAGGGCCTCCTGCTCCACTCGGGCTCTTTCTAGAGTCTTCCTCAGCTCTCTGAGCTCAAATTCCTTGACTGGGAGGAAAGGTACGAGAAGGCCATCTTTTTCTGTTCTTTTCCATCAAACACCTCCCCTTCTCTTTGAACTGCCCCCCCCGCCCCGCCAGGCAACAGCCGAGGCCCCCACTCTGGGCAGGTCATCCCCCAAATCCTTTCTAAGAGAGTTCTTTCTTTCTCTGATAATATGAAGGACGTCTCTGTCCATTGGGGGGGAAATGTGCAGACACAGAAAGGAATAAAGAAACGCATAACCCCCTCCTCTTGCCTGCTAGAGATAACCACCGTTAACATTTGCGTGGATTTACCTATGTGTAATTTCACATACTTGACTGTGGGGAAGTTGTGAAGAACACAGGTCGTGGAACCCAATGGCCTGGGGTTAAATTTCAGCTCAGCTATGGACCAGCTCTGCAACCATGGGCAAGTTACTTAACCTCTCTGTGCCGTGCTTTCCTTATTTTATTTCAATGTTTATCTTTTTAGTAATCTCTATACCCAACGTGGGGCTCGAACTCATGACCCCGAGATCAAGAGACACATGCTCTTCCGACTGAGCCAGCCAAGCACCCCGCACTTTCCTTTTTTTAAAAGGAAGAGATACTATTACCAACCTCGCAGTACTTTTATGGGAATTAAAAGAGGTAATTTGTCTAAAGTTCTTAGACCTGTGCCTGGCTCAGTGGATGTTCTTGGTTATTTCCCATGTGATTATTATTTTTATTTACTGTTATTCTCCTAGATGGCATTTTTTTTTGGTTCCACTTAATATCATAACTTCTTATTGGACGTTATTCTGACTAGGATCATAAAACCTTAGGTTACAAAGCTACCGGGAAAGTGCTGAACTTGACTACTTACTTTTCAGAAGTTTAAAGATAAACTCTTGCAAGAAACACAAGTCGAATGAAGCAAAATGCTTCTCTGGAATCAGGCCTCCTAGCGCAAGTGGATCGGGCCACTCAGTTTCCTCCTCTGAGTCTTCTTTGTGCAAATTTTGACCTTCCTCTTTCTCCAGAGGTTCCAGATGCTTTAAGCACTCAGTGGAATCTTTTTCGAATTTCCCTAAAAAGCAAAGAAATCCCACGGGGAAGGTCAGCCCCATGAGCAAAAATGAGCAGCATCTCTGGACCTGGCCCTGTGTCCAGATGCAAGCAAGGCAGTCCCTGCTCCGTGTCCCCGGGAAGAAGACAAATAAGCAGAATGCAGGGGGCCCTGGGCCAGATGGGTGGCAGCAAGGGGGCCTCCTGGGGGAGGAGTCCTTGGCTGAGCTCTAAGTCATGGTACCACACAATTTGCCCATTGAAAGTGCTGAATTCAGTGGTTTGTAGTATATTCAGAGTTGTGCAGTGATCACCACAGTCAAGTTTGGAACATATTTATCACCCCAAAAAGAAACTTGGTGCCTTTAGCCACCTCTCACACCTCTCCACCTGCTCTCCCCTCCCCCAGCCCCAGGCAACTGCTAATCTGCTTCCTGTCTCTATAGATTTTCTTATTCTGGACCTTTCATACACCTGGGACCAGACACTATGTGGTCCTCTGTGACTAGTTGTTCAATTTACCATGTTTCCAAGGTTCACCCATACTGTGCCTTGCATCAGTCCTTCACTCCTTTGCAGGGCAGAATACTATTCCATCAGTCCTTCACTCCTTTGCAGGGCAGAA